CGGCTCAGGTCATGGTCCTGGAGTCCCAGGATCGAGTCCCGCATCGGGCTCCCTGCTCGGCAGGGAGTCTGCTTCTCCCTCTGACCCTCCTCCCTCTCATGCTCTCTGTCTCTCATTCTCTCTGTCTCAAATAAATAAATAAAATCTTTAAAAATAAATAAATAAAAGTTTAACACTGGGGTGCCTGGGTGGCTCAGTCGGTTAGGCGTCTGCCTTCAGCTCAGGTCATGATCCCAGGGTCCTGGGATCGAGCCCCGCATCAGGCTCCCTGCTCAGTGGGAAGCCTGCTTCTCCCTCTCCCACTCCCCCCACTTGTGTTCCCTCTCTCGCTGTGTCTCTCTCTGTCAAATAAATAAATAAAATCTTTGAAAAAATAAAATAGAAGTTTAGCATTGACAAAAATATTTTGAAATATTCTTTATAAATATTCCTCATTTTCATAGTTTTTCTTGTTCCACTCTGCTTTTACTATATAGAATTCTTAACATTCAAAAGAGATGTAGTCTGAGACTCTAGGTGCCACTATAATATGAACTAGTCCTCATTCTTTAATAGATCTAAAACTTCTATCTTATGGCTGTAGGAACCATAACTTTCTTTGAGATCACTTTACTTTCATGATGAGCACTAATGAATGGCTTTTGAGAAAGACCATGTTTTCATTTAAAAAAATAGCAAATTTTTAGAGAATTCATTGAGACTAATATAATATAAGATAATAAAGCTCTTTTGCCTTGCTGAGTGAGTGACTGGACTCACTAGCTAAATGACTGACTATAAAACTGTCATAGTTCTTTACTAATAGTTAAAAATCATAAAAATCAGTGGTCTACTTCATCTTATTTTTGAAATGTTCAGGAGGTAGAAGCAATAAAGAGAATTCTGAGTGGAAGTCCTGTTTTACACTAGATTAAACTCCCTAAAGCATGGTTTTCTTTCTTTCTTTCTTTTTTAAGATTTTATTTATTTATTTGTCAGAGAGAGAGAGAGGGAGAGAGCACAAGCAGGGAGAGTGGCAGGCAGAGGGAGAAGCAGGCTCCCTGCTGAGCAAGGAGCTCGATGCAGGACTCGATCCCAGGACCCCGGGATCATGACCTGAGCCAAAGGCAGATGCTTAACTCACTGAGCCACCCAGGTGCTCCTGAAGCATGGTTTTCTTATTGTTATCCATCTTAAAATTCTTCACTGACTCTTTCAATTTAGGATGATAAAGTCAGTAGACTAGTACCCCATGGTTCTTCTACAGGTTGCTCTTCACTTGTTTTTCCAAACTAAATTTGAACATTTAAAAATCATTCAAATCAATAAAAAAAAAAACCATTTAAAAAATAATGTTGACTATGTACTGGGTACTGTACTACCCTTTTAGGATATAATGCTAAATAAGAAACCATGATCCCCATCCTCATAGACTTGTCTAATTGCTTCAGTTTAACTGATTTGTATGATTTAAACCTAGCATGTGTAGTTCTGCCTTTTTACCTTTGTTTATGTAATTCTTTTTCCCAGAAAATCCTTCCCCCTCAACATATTCAAATTTTATCCATATTTCAAATCTCAGCTCTGGTGATATCTCTACTATGACTATTCTCCTTGTTCATATCAGGTCATTTTAGTCTCTTCTGAATGGCCGTGGCGACTAATACATATTGTTTGCTTATGACTTTCACTTATAATTATTTATAAATACTAAATTTTAACTTTTCATGTGTGTATTTCCCCAGATATCCTATAAGGCTTTGGATGGCCAGGCTGTCTTCTGGCCCCTCCCCCAAATGATTCATGTCCCTCCCACATGCAGAATACACTCCCTTCCTTCCAAGTGTCCTAAAAGTCTCATCCCATTATGCACCACATCACAGTCCAGAATCTCTTCATCAAAATCAGATCAAGGTGTATGTGAGGCTCTTCAAGTATAGTTGCTTAAGTACAATTCCTCAAGAACAATTTCTCTGAATTTGAAGACCTGTGAACTGAAGAGACAAGTTATCTAGCCCCCCTCCCACCCCCATGCATACCACCTATCCACCCAACATACACTGATGGGACAGGTATAGGATAATTGCTATAGACTTTCCTGTTCAAAAGTGGGAAAATGAGGCACAAAGGGGTCACCGGTCCATAGTGATTTTGAAATTTGGGTGGGCAAACATTGGAGTTTCCTTGATTATATCAAAAGGCCTGGGAATAATTCTTTAGGGTTTCAGGCTTTGCCCTCTGAGTTTTTGTCCTCCCTTTGAGTCATTCTTCCTTTTTCATGAAATATATCATGTGTTTGCATCTGAGTGGTTTTCTCAGTCTGCTTCCTGACAGTAGAATTTTGGAAGCCCAGTGGTCTCTTTACTTTGTACTGTAACTGTTCCTTTCAGTTCAGTTTAGCAGTGTTTGGTGTTGTTATTCTCTCAAAAATTTTGTCCGCCTCCTCTGAATCATGTTGGGGTTTATTCCATAAGATAAAAGCCACATCTAAGAATCTCTTTAAAAAATGTGGACTTCTACAGAGATATTGAGGTAAAATGTACTCAAGCTTTCTAGAGTGTCTATTGTTTGAGAGGATCTATGAAACACACCTTTAATCTTTTTAAAGGACTTTTGGTATAATTGATTAGTGCTGTGAAGTACCACTCTTGATCTTTCTGGGGTCTGAAAAAGAGGTTTTGTAGTCACCCCTCAGCTTCATTTTTAGACCATGTACTGCCAATGCCCTGGATTCAAACTTTGTTGGGAAGCTAGTCCTGACTTTAACATCTTTTGCCATCTTGAGAAGCTGAGAATTTTCAAAACTATGTGTGTCTTGGTTTTGTTTGTTTGTTTGTTTAACAGTCCTTTCTTTAGTTTATCTCTCTTCTTTTGCATTTTACAGTAAGAGGCAAAAAAAAAAAATAGGTAGCACTCACAACACTTTAACTTTGCTTGGAAATCTTAGTTAAATCACTTAAATGTTCGTTAAGGTACATTTCCTAGTTTCCACATTACTGAAGATAATGGCATTGTTAAGTTTCTACAACTACTTAACAAGAATCCTCCTTTCTCCAATTTCCAAAAACATTTTCCTCACTTCCTCTTGAGCCCTTGTGGGAAGAATACTCAAAGTCCAGCTTTCTCCTAACAGTCTGTTCAAGGCAATTTAAGCTTTCTGTAACATGTTCCTCAAAATCTCTCTAACCTCTACCCACTGCCAAGTTCCAAAGCTACTCCTACATTTTTAGGTATTTATTATGGCAGTACCCCACTTTCATCTTTCAACATCTATACTAGTTACTTCTTCCTGTGTAACAAATTCCCTCAAAACTTAGCAGCTGAAAGCAACAAACATTTATTGTCTTATAGTTCGAATGGGTCAGGAATCTTGGTGTGGCTTAACTGGCTCCTCTGCCTCAAGACCTCTTATGAGGTTGTTAAGAAAGTGTCAGCTGAGGCTGTGGGGTCCATTTGAAGGTTCCACCAAATGGACAGTCGGCTTCCTAGCTCATTCCTGTGGTTATTGGCAGAATTCAGGTCAGATCCTGTTGGCTAGAGGCCTTTTTTAGTTCCTTCCTAGTGGGCTTCTTTCATAGGGCAGTTGACAACATGGCTAGCTGGCTTCCCTCAGAGCAGAAGAGGGCTAGCAAGACAGAAACCAGAATCTTTTTAACCTAATTTTGGAAGCAACATCCCATCACTTTTGCCTTATTTTCTGTGTTAAAAGCAAATTATTAGGTACAGTCTATACATAATGGGAGGAAATTATACAAGACATGAATACCAGGAGGCAGGGATCATTGAAAGCCATCTTAGAAGCTATGTGATCTTTGGCCACTAATTGCATGTGATGGTGAATCTGCATTTACTGGATTTGAAAATTGGAAGAGAGTGTCTAGAGCACACCAGTGAAATAATATTTACATAACACATTTAAAAGAATCATTACAACCTTGTAACTTACTGAGACTTGAAAATAATTTTAGGAGCTTAATTTCTCCATACAAACCAAGTTTTATTCCTACACAAATGTACCCCTTGTTCATATCCTCAAATGAAGTATGATGGAATATAAGACTTTTAGAGGGATTTTTGCAATCAAAGTACATCTAACTGTTGAACAAATGAATCAAGTGTTTTGTTTGCTTTTGCTCAGGTACTTATACATGTCAGTATTTACAGGGATGCAAGAAATTAAGTAAATGAGTCCACTTACCCTAGATTATTTCTGAGATAAAAGCTATTCCTTTACTTTTTAATGTAGTTTTGGAATGATGGTAGAAGAGGCAACATTGCTTACATTTTCAATGCAGTAAACATAGGTAGTATGGGTCTAGGAGTAATTCTACAAACAAATACACATATGAAGAAAAATCCTACTAATTTTGGTATTAGAGGAAAGGGGGCTGGGGAGAATGGTTGCAATATCCTATTCTTGTCCTGGAAAAGTATATTTTCATCAAAAGACAGGAACCTCTGAAGCCTTTTTCTTTGCTAGTCATACTTCAATGTGTTCATTATTCCTGCCCCAAACTCTGTAACTCTTGGCACAGAAACTACTTTAATAGACATGGCAGAGTGACCTGAAAAACAACAGTAATAACTTTTTTCCATAGATTATTTTAGTGTTAGTTGGTTCAAAAGTTGGTTTTGAGTGATCTGATAAATATAGTGATGTTTATGTTGAAAATACATTTAAGTAAGTACATTTAAGTAACTTTTTCATTTATGGGTTATAGAAGTATCATTTTTCTTTCATGTTTCACAGAAAGTATGGTGGTTTGTTTTATAGTTATGCTAGAGAAGCTTAAGGTGGAATAGAGGAAGAGAGTTTGTATAGATGACTAAAGCTAGTTATTTCAGAGTTGCAGCTAAATCTCTTACTAGATTTGTAATACTGAGAAAATTTGCCAACAACAATAACAATGTTATTAAATAATATTATGGATCTCCAACCATGTTTTAGAATACTATATAACAGTTTCTTTCTAAATTATCCCTAATACATAAAATTGTCTTTTTTTTTTTTTCTTTTACAGGTAATATAACATTACAAAGCAAGATGGGTAATATCACAGTAGGTATGTACTAAGCTGCTGGTTGGTAAATTTTGCATCCTTTAAAAAATAGCTATATTTGTGATATTTTATTAGGGTAAATAAAATCTGAAGTTTAGCTGATGAACCCTATAGGATTCTGATATGCAAGTCAAATATAGGTAGACCCAATGTATGAATACATAAAATTATTTCTGGAAATTCATTGACTCATCATCCTATAAATGTCTAATTATAGATTTGGTATCAATAAAGTTTGAATTCTGATTTCATCACTTTCTATACTTGGGCTAATTACATAACTTCCCTGTGCTTCAATTTCCACATCTGAAAGAAATAGTGGTTAAGTACCTATCATATAGGGTTATTGGAAGAAGTGAGATCATATATATAAAGTACTTTAGCACAGTGTCTGACATATGGTAAAGATTCAATAAATAATAGTCATTTTTATTATTGTTCTAATCCTAAGCCAGAACTAATAGTGGCTAATGGTACCTTAGACCTCATCACTACATGTGATGCTGTGCCTGTGGGAGAAAAAGTTCAGATTTCCAAATAGTTTAGATAGAGTTTTTCTCTGTCCCAAGTAGCACCTGCTTGCCTATTAGGCAGAGGCGCACTCTAAACCCTAAGAGTGGCGGTGGTTTTTAGGCCTTAGAGGGTTGGGGGTGGAGATGGGAAACTAAGATCTTTGTGGGGAAGCTGTGGCTTATTGCCAGTACGAACGCCCAGGGCCTCCTGGCTTTGTCCTTTTGACGTTTTACATTTTTCCTTTCTTTGTACTGATTGAAACAGTGAACATGTTCAATAGTCCTTTTCACCATCACTCCTGAATTTTCTGGCTTAAAGTAATATCTTTTTAAAAATTTTCAAGAGATTGAAACATTTTTGTTCAGTGAGAGATTAAGTTGAAAATAAAGGCTTCTTAAGTGATAGTTTTAAATCATATTAACTAAGACATGACAGAAGGATTTACCTGTTTCCGGTGGGAAATCAAGCTTACTGTTGACTGTTCAGGCCATTTCATCAGAGGACACATCTAGGGATGGTAAGGGAAATTTCTAGTGTGAACAAAAAGGTACAGTGGTGAGAAGCTGAGCTCTCTGGGGAGAGAAAATGCTAGACATGGGCAGAGTTTGTAGCAATAAGGCAAGGGAGGAAAAGGAGGAGAATGTTGCAAATTGGGAGGCACAGGGAATTTCACTACCAACTAGAAGGCCCTTTAGGCAGATACGAATTTGAGGAATACTTGTAATGTGATATAATACAATAATGTTAGTGTTATTCTTGGATGTAAATATGGGAACATAAATGGAAAACCATTCTCTCTAAAATTGGAAATAAATGGTTATTTATCCATACTGGAAAAGAATCGTAATAGCAGTAATGTATATATTTGAAGATGGTTTCAAATTCTGTATGAATGATTAACAGTATGAATTCTTTTTAATTTTCTATATGAACTTTTTCTTTTTCCCACTATTAAGTACTAGAGGGATTTTCAGACAAAATGTTTTTTTTTTCTTAGATAAATCTCTGTCCACTCAAAGAAAATGACCTGAGTCCACTGTTAAGAAAATTATAAGGGTGCCTGGGTGGCTCAGTCGATTGAACGTCCAACTCTTGGTTTTGGCTCGGGTGGTGATCCTTAGGGTCGTAGGATAGAGCCCTGTGTTGGGCTCCGTGGTTGGCAGGGAATCTGCTTGGAGAGTCTTTCCCTCTGCCTCTCCCCTCACTTACATGTGTGCATGCTCTCTCTCTCTTGCTCGCTCTCTCTCAAATGAATAAATAAATCTTAAAAAAAAAAAGAAAGAAATATAATTGACCACAATTATAGAAGTAGTTAATGACCTTTATAATTTTCTTTAGCAAAACATAAATTGTGTCAGTAGTTTTAGGTTCTTAAAAATCCACAAATATGTGAAGGTAAATAAAGGTTGAATTCTTATTTTATAAACATGATTGATAAATTTGGGGTTTTATTTTGGAAGAATCTCTTAAAATAAGAGAAAATGTATACATTTGTTAGGTTACCATATTTTGATCTGTTGTAGTATGGAAAAACATGGACTTTAGAAGTAGATTTGATTGTGAATTTTGGTCCTACCACCTATGAGCTGTGTGACTCTGATCAAATTAGCCTCTCTGAGTTTGCATTTTTACACATAAAATGGATACCACTTAAACACACAAGGTTGTGAAGATATTAAATAACGTTGTACTAATAGCCTACTGTTGACCAGAGGCCTTAACCAATAATACAAGCTGTCAATTAACACATATTTTCTATGTTATATATATTAAATACTGTATTATTATAATAAAGTAAGCAAGAGAAAAGAAATGTTAAGAAAATCATAAGGAAGAGAAAATAGATGTATAGTATGGTACTGTATATTTGTGCAAAAAAATCCACTTATGAGTGGACTCAACAGTTCAAACCTGTGTTGTTCAAGGGTCAACGGTCTAAAGTACAGCCCAATGAATGATAGTTATTCAATAAACTATCCTTCTCTTTCCTCTTCCGGTTTATTATCTATAATATAAAACTAGTAAGCCACTATGTTTTAACCTTAATTGTGAAGGAAATAATTCATTTCATATATTCCTTTATTTCTTTCAATATCTCTATTAAGACTTTGGAAGAAAGATATAAATTACGTCTCTACTGCTCTCAACATTGTGTTAATGTTTGAAGACAATCTTGAGTATAGCAGTAACTAGTCAACATCTGTTTATTGAGTACCTACTCTCTATCAGGAACTTGATGAAGTCTGATTTACCGATTATTTTTATTGTTATTGATTTCTGTGTCCTGAGAAATCTTTGTTCTGCCTTCAATCATAAAGCTGTTCTCTTGTTTTCCTCTAGCACCTTTACAATTTTTGCTTTCACCTTTGATCTATCTCTAATTTTTTGTGTTTAGTGTGAGTTAGGAATCAAGATTTTTTTCCCCATATGGATGTTCTAGTTATTACATCACCATTTGTTGAAAAATCTTTCATTCTCCAATGTATTATTTCAGCATCTTTGTCTAGAATCAAGTGACTATATAAGTTAATAGATATTTTATTATTGTATTAATACTTTCTGTTTTATCTGGTTTTACATTTGGTAAGTGGTATTTTCAAGAAATTTGTCTATTTTATCAAATTGTCAAATTTGTTCACATAATGTTGTGCAAAGTATTCCCTTATACTCCTTTTTATGCCTATAGGTTGTATAGGGATTTCTTTTTTTTTTTTTTAAGGTTTTATTTATTTATTTGACAGAGAGAGACACAGCGAGAGAGGGAACACAAGCAGAGGGAGTGGGAGAGGGAGAAGCAGGCCTCCCGCCGAGCAGGGAGCCCGACGCGGGGCTCGATCCCAGGACCCTGGGACCATGACCTGAGCCGAAGGCAGACGCTTAACGACTGAGCCACCCAGGCACCCTCTATAGGGATACTTCTTTCCTCTTCATTCCTGATATTGATACTTGTATTCTCTTTTTCTTGATTAATACAGCTAGACTTTATAATTTTGCTAATCGTTTCAAAGAACCAACTTTTCACTTAGTATCTCTATTGTTCTAATGTATTGATTAATTTCTTCTCTTTATTATGTTCTTTTATTTACTTTGAGTTTCCTTGCTCTTCTTTTTCTAGCTTCTTCAGGTAAAACATTAGGTCATTGATTGTAGACTTTTTTTTTTTATTTGGGGGATTTTCTTTGTTAATATTAGCATTTAAATTACAAGTCTGTTAAAAGCAGTGTATTCCCCACATTTTGAAATGTTGCAATTTTTTTTCTTCTATAATTTGGCTATTGTAAATAATGCTTCAGTAAACATAGGGGTGCATATATACCTTTTAATTAGTGTTTTTTAATTAAGTTTTTATTCTAATTCCAGTGTAGTTAACATGTAGTGTTAAATTAGTTTCACCTGTACAATATAGTGATTTAACAATTTCATACATCACCCAGTACTCATCATGACAAGGGCCCTCCTTAATTTCCATGACCTATTTCACCCATACCTCCACAGACCTCCCCTCTGGTAACCATCAGTTTGTTCTCTATAATGAAGAGTCTATTTCTTGGTTTGTCTCTTTTTTTTTTTTTTCTTTACATAGGTCCATGTATGGATCCAACATAGATCCATCCTTGTTGCAAGTGGCAAGATTTCTTTAATAAGTTTTATGTGTACAATATAGTGATTCAGTAATTCCATATATTACTAAGTGCTCATCATGGCAAGTGTACTCTTAATTACCTTCACCTATTTCACCCATCCCTCCACCTATCTCCCCTCTTGTTAGCATCAGTTTGTTCTGTATAGTTAAGAGTCTGTTTTTACATGTCTTTTTTCTTTGTTTCATTTTTTTTTTTTTGTCTAAATTCCACATATGAGTGAAATCATCTGCTATTTGTCTTTCTCTGACTGACTTATCTCACTTAGCATAATACTCTCTAGCTCCAACCATGTTGTTGCAAATGGTAAGATTTCATTCTTTTTTATGGTTGGATAATATTCTATTGTATACCATATCTTCTTTATCCATCCATCGATGGACATTTGGGTTGCTTCCATAATTTAGCTACTGTAAATAATGCTGCACTAAACACGGGGATGTGTAGTGTGTATATATCCCTTAGAATTAGTGTTTTCATATTCTTTGGGTAAATACCGACTAGTGTGATTGATGGATCATATAGTAGCTCTATTTTTAATTTTTTGAGGAACCTCTGCACTGTCTTCCACAGTGCCTGCACCAGTTTGCATTCCCACTGACAGTGCAAGAGAGTTCCTTTTTCTCTATATCCTCACCATTACTTGTTGTCTCTTGTGTTTTTTATTTTAGCCATTCTGACAGGTATGAGGTGATTATCTCATTGTGCTTTTGATTTGCATTTTCCTGATAATGATGTTGAGCATCTTTTCATGTGTCCGGTGGCCATCTGGATGTCTTGTTTGAAGAAGTGTCTGTTCATGTCTTCTGCCCATTTTTAATGGACAGAAGAATGGATTATTTGTGTTTT